CAACCCTCAGAATGGGAGAAAATATTTAAATAAATGAAACAACAGACAAAGGATTAATCTCCAAAATATAAAAACAGCTCATGGAGCTCAATATCAAAAAAACAAACAATCCAGTTAAAAAAATGGGCGGAAGACCTAAACAGACATTTCACCAAGGAAGACATACAGCTGGCCAAGAAGCACATGAAAAGATGCTCAACATCACTAATTATTAGAGAAATGCAAATCAAAACCACAATGAGGTATCACCGCACGCCGGTCAGAATGGCCATTATCAAAAAATCTAGAAACAATAAATGTTGGAAAGGGTGTGGTGAAAAGAGAACCCCTGTGCACTGTTGGTGGGAATGTAAATTGATACAACCACTATGGAAAACAGTATGGAGGCTCCTTAAAAAACTAAAAATAGAACTACCATATGACCCAGCAATCCCATTACTGGGCATATACCCTGAGAAAACCATAGTTCAAAAAGAGTCATGTACCACAATGTTCATTGCAGCTCTATTTACAATAGCCAGGACATGGAAACAACCTAGATGTCCACTGACAGTTGAATGGATAAGGAAGATGTGGCACATATGTAAAATGGAATATTACTCAGCCATAAAAAGAATCGAAATTGAGTTATTTGTAGTGAGGTGGATGGACCTAGAGTCTGTCGTATAGAGTGAAGTAAGTCAGAAAGAGAAAAACAAGCACCGTATGCTAATGCATATATATGGAATCTAAAAAAAAAAAAGGAAGAAAATGGTACTGATGAAACTAGTTGCAGGGCAGGAATAAAGATACAGACATAGAGAATGGACTTGAGGACACGGGGTGTAAGGGAGAATCTGGGGCAGAGAGAGAGTAGCATCGACATATACACACTACCAAATGTAAAATAGATAGCTAGTGGGAAGCAGCAGCGTAGCACAGGGAGATCAGCTCAGTGCTTTGCAATGACCTAGAGGGGTGGGATAGGGAGGGTGGGAGGGAGGCTCAAGAGGGAGGGGATATGGGGACATATGTATGCATATGGCTGATTCAGTTTGTTGTACAAGAGAAACTAACACAGTATTGTGAAGCAATCATACTCCAATAAATATCTATTTTTAAAAAAAAAAAAGCCCTCTAACCATGGTATTGCATAGGTAAAAGAATGCAACATATAGTATTAAAGAATTTACTTAGATTAAAACACAGGGGTGGGTGGATAGCTTATTCCTACATCTGTACAGTGCTGCTCCACTCTAAAAGCAAGTCAAACGATCTTACCAGTATTTCCCCAATTCTGTGTTTCCCGATGGCGGCCTAGGAATTGCTGGTGAAACCTCCACAGGCCTGTCCATCGTTGCAGTGGATCCGAAGTTGCAGAAGAAAACCATGATCTGCACCTTTTTCTCAAGTCAAAACCAAACTCTGAACCTTTAGCTTTAAAGATAAAGCTCTACAGCTCAACCTTCATTCCCCTTTACTTCTCTGCTCTCAACCAGATACAATTTTTTTTCCGTTCCCCGGTGACCTTCTATTTCTTGGTTCCTGGTTACAGAAATTGGCTTCATCTGTCCATCTCAAACACTGCAACCCCTTCCCTGACATGTCTAGAGAGCAGCAGAAATTACCTTGAGTTTCAGTGTTCCTGTATGTCACGATAGATGATTGAGAGGTGACCTGCAAACGTCTTAAACTCGTACAAAGATGTGTTACCTTTTACATGACAATCTGGTCTCAGTAACACCTCACTAGCACGTGCTGGAACTTCATAAACACATGTTGATGTAAAAATTAAATTAAAATGATTAAAACATAAAGTAACCCATTTTTCTCCTAAACAGAAAAGTTTTAAAATCTGAGGGCAGAAATACTTTGAATTAAATATTAACTTTATAGCAGATTTTTCAAGTGGTTTTATAGATAATATCTTGGAAAGTTTCCTATAACCTTCAAAGGAACAACCAGAACCTCTAAAGGTGCTGGAGAGCTGAATTAAGGATAAAAGGTTGAAATAAGCTTTGCCTGCTAGAGAATGTGGTACTTACACATTCCTCTGGTTTGGAGTTTAAATTTCCACTCTAACTCTAATTAATGAAGAATTCAAAAGGCAAGGAAAATTTGACTAGGTTGGTTTAACCAAGAGTGGTCTGACCAAGATTTTTTTTAAACCCAATTATTCCTAATTTATTGCAGAATCTTTCTTATTGAAAAGGGTTTATGTTCAATTGTCTGTGGACTATAATGAGGCTGACTATACGTTAGCTTATTTACTGTGTAGATGTTGTAGAAACATCTTAGAAACACCTATGAAACATAAACAATGACAACAGCAAACAGCTCAGAATTGATCTAATATCCTTGGGAATTGAACTATGGTGTCGGGGGGGTGGGCGGGGGACAACGGGTGTGGGTGTTGTGAAACCACTGAATGAGAGAAGAAAGCCCTGAGACACTACTGAGCAGAAGTGCTGAAACAGTACCCTTTCTTCCACCACTGATGCCTGCCTTGCATGGCTATTAATGTGTAAGTCATTCAGTCTTTCAAGATCAAATCATGTTTAACTTCTCAAAAGAACTGGCTCAGTGGCAGAAAAGAATTTATCAAGAGGGTCAATTACATAATGATCTTAGGACAATGTGTAAAAAGCAGCCTGATGATTACAACGATGTCTTTGTTTTACGGCAGAACTTCTTGATTGTATTTGGCCTCCTTGATGACTGGCGTTGGAATACACAAACAGCTGTTTTCCATTTGTGCTCATTTGGTACATTCCACACAGGCCATCTATTGTGAAGGTCAATCAATCAATTCCCCAATTTTTCAACAACCACACAGCCCGATACGGCATGCTTTCTTAAGACAGAACTGTTTCACTCCGTAACCAGCAGTGATTTTACACTAGCCATGTACCTTCCTCTTCCCCACTAATATATTTTTTTCCGTTGCCTTTAGCGCCCATGACTAATAATACCAAGTGCCTAATTTCAGGCTGTGCACTGTTCTCATCTCAACTTTATTAGTTCACCCAAATCCTGTTTCCCTGACTGAACATCACACATGGCATCTTTTATAAATTAGCACGTTGGTCATATCGATTTAGAATTGTGTAATGGACGGTAGGATAGAATTTGTGTCCAGTGCCCCAAGTCCAGCCCCTTCTCTCCCATCCACTCTGGGCCCTCACTGATCAAAATTTTATGTTTCTATTGTTGAACAGGCTGAAAAACACGTTCCATCGTATATATTTGAGTAGATAATCCTGCGGGGAAAAGCTGACCATATAAATCCACGATAACAATATCCTCATAATGCATTTTGCATCTCATCAATATGCAATATGCATCTCATAAGGCGGAAAGGTTAAACATTGTGAGAAACTTTTATTGGTTTTCTAAAAAAAACTACAGTTGATTTAGCTTGTAAAATGTCCAATAAATCGGTTTACAAGCTAAAATTGGTTTAGCTTGTAAAATGTCCAATGAATTTTCATCAAATACCATTTAAATTACAGCAAGTCAAACACCCTCTAATACAAGCTAAAACTAAAAAAGAAAAAACCTAATAAAGTATTTTAGGTATTAAATTTTAGCAAATACTGCTTAATTTGGCATGATGTAGATAATTTAATCCTATAAACAAATTAATGGAATTTCAAATAAATGTATGATCTATAAATTTGGCAACAGAGAGGGAATAAAAGTGACACTGGCAAAAATTAGGATAAATTAAAACACATGGGGAAACAGAGATGATGCAATCTTCCAACACTGAAGAAATCACATGCAAGCTTTATGGCAAATAAACTTAAGGGTGCCTCCTTGTGTCAGAATGGTAAGGTGGAGAATTCTGACATCAGTACTAGAGAACTTCCAATGACTAAACTATGGCAAATGACTCCTGTTTCATGGGAGAATAATATTCATTGGCTATTATTAGTGATACCTGTGAATGTGACACCTTCCTTCCATCACTTAGTTACTAGAAAAATGAGACTATTCTAAACCAATTCCTCTGCAGTAACATAGTTCATGGTGTTTCCCTAAATCCACACTACATGAAGATTCACTTTCACCCTTTGTTCTTAAGAGTTATGCTGCCTCTCATCAAGGTGACCTGAGAATCTTCCTCTAAATTAAAAACTCCAGTTCCCATTAATGGGGCTCTGATGTTGGCCCCTAAGGGGCTTGATTAACTTGATTAACTCCTAATCAAGTTCACGTGAACTGTCTCCCCCTCAGTACCTGTTCCTCAGACCAGATTTCTATCTTGATGCCAGCCCTTGTCTGATCATGGTGTTCTATTCCTTCACCTGCAAACTGTACTTAAATGAAAAGATTTATTGTTTTTAATTGCTCAGCATGTGAAGAAAGGCTAGTGAACTCAGCTATACAGTCTGAACTTCAGGCAGCAAGCCAATTCCGAGATAGGTTTCTGCAATCAAAATTAACCCCAATAGTTACTGGAATAAAGAAAAAAATGTGGAAGTAGAGGTTAACATCATGAAAAGAATAGAAGAACCTAAGGAAAAAAGTAGGTCTCCCCACCTGTTTTTTCCTGTTATGTCTTTCAAGAATCTTTTTGGACGAGGAACCAAGACTATTTCCCTGGTTACAAAGCCTCTATATCATTAAGGCAAAGTTCACTGTGGACTTTCCATTCTAGAAGATTTTATTGGCAAATGTCGTGCTTTAATATTGTGTGTGTAGTGTGCATGCTGGGCAATTTGAAAAAGACCCTGGATTCTCCAGGGATATCAAATGATTAGACTTTTTTTTTTCCCTGAACCTAAGCATCAACTTCTGAAAAACAGATTTTTTTTTTTTCTGGTATCTAGTGTCCTACCACCTGGACATTGTCAAATGATTGTCTCACCTGTTTAAATGAAACCCTGATTTTAGCCCAGGTTTGGACCTTATCTTTTCCCACCTCAAACCATCACCTTAACTCATCAAACCACAAGAACTCACCTGCTTCTTCCTGGAATGACCGACTGACCCCGCCTCGGATCCCACTGGCTTACCTGGGCTCCCAGTCCAGGCCTTTGCTCTGAGTTTTGGAATTCCTATTACTGCTTAGCTCATCACCATGACAAGGTCTGCAACACTTCAGGCTTCAACTGCCAAGAATCCTGCTTCAGACTGAGTGGGTCATGCTGATTATCCTACCAAGATCCATGGCTTCTATCTCTGAGGAAAAAATATACCACATGCTAATAGCATTAGTGAAATAAAAAGGTTGGACTAAATAATTTCTAAAATCTCTGTCAGATCTAAATTCAGGGTTTCACATTATACAGAGGAGAAAACTGAAGCTCAGAGAGGTTGACTCTTCAACAAAAAGAGAAAATGTGAAGTTGCCCAGTGACAAAGATGGAGGTACCATCAGAGGTGTGCTGGTAAATGTTTAACACAGATCTCTGGAGTTGGGGGGTGGAGCTGGGATGGAGAAAAAAGCATTTCTGTGATTTAATTCTGTGATGGTCTTTCCTAAGGCATAAATACTCCTATGATAGCTGATTTCAAACTACCAACATGAATCAACCAGCTGCAAAATTCCTTAAAATTTAACATTCAGCTCTTGGGATCTGGTACCAGTCAGCTCCAGCACACCTCCAACAAAGCTCTGGTTTTATAGTGATAATGATAATGGAAGGACCACTTACTTGGTTCTATTGCTAACCTTTACAGGTAAGACCACTTAACCCCAACCTGAGAATATGACACCATTCCAGGTTCTGAGATTAATCCTGTCCCTAGACCCAGGGAGCAAAGGCCTTAAGGTTCACTAACTGAGCACCGATTTCTTCAGGGTTCCTCAAACCCCTGTTCCCTGCCTCGCTCTTTCGTTCTGCTGTTAGAATAGCCAGGCTCCTCAGAGACTGGCTTTCTGGTAATTAAAATCCATCCCAAAACACACTTAGGAATTTATTTTAGTCTAATATTTTATCCAGTTGCACAGGTGAGAACTGAAACACTGAGAGAGGCAGCTGCAGTTGAACCAGGGAAAGCAGGCATGGGGGTAGTGTGAGAAATGCTCATAATGAATAAGCTTCCAGATCTATAGCTGCTATAGAAATGTGTTGTTTCTAAAGACATTGAGCTCCTTTATCTTCTTTTACTTCTGATTTATAAAAGACCAAAAATGCACAAAAGCCTTTGATGCTGAGTCAAAGAAACATCAGAGTTATGTACCTCCCTCTTGAACAAGACACATTCCACTATGATGTCATCAAAGATATACTGAATTCAAAATGTAGCCTAGGAAACTCTTCATGAATAGCTATGATTTTGAAACCAGAATTTTAAAAGTACTGACTCTGGCACAAAAATGAATGAACAGTCATATTCACTCACAATCACAAATCATAGTTGACTGAGCAACTTGCTAACAATTCTGAAAAAATCAACTCAACAGCAGAGAAATAATGAGAATGCTTCTGACAAATGAGCTATTATGAAAACCTTTAAAATTATAGTTGTGAAGATCATGTAGTCACATGAAGAAAGTTTATGATTTGTAAGGTAAAAAGACATAAAATTGTGTATCGTTAAGAGTATCATTAAGAGTATAAAAATATTTTTAAATGTACATAGGAAAAAGCCCTAGAAGGAGAAAGTTTAAATTGTTATAGTATTATTTTTTCCTTTTTTCTCACTTTCCAAATTTTCTACAACGTAGTTATGTTATTCTTATACTGAAAAAATGTCTAAATTTAAAACAAATAAATAAATAAATATTTCACAAGCATCCTGGATCCCTAACCAGGACCCTGACCACTCCTCTGAACACCAAGAAAGCCCTGCCCTGAATGGGACCCTCTCTGTGTTCTTGCAAGCCTTGTGGCAGCCCTCATCACATCACTGAAACCAGAAATACACTTCAAATACCAAAAAGACTTGGAGCAAAGTGAGGACATTTGAAGTGAGTCGTTGTCATTTAGGTTTTTTCTCAACTCCCTACTGAAAGGCCAGGCACCCTTCCCTGTCACACTCTCACTGCTATGGAATGCCTCAGCTCGGGGACAGTCTGCTGTGGATCATTCCCTTCCCTTACTATGGTCTCTGGACCTTTGTTCCATTGTTAACTCACTTCCTTACATCTTTAGTCTCTTCAAACCCTTGGGCCTAGAGAAGGACTTGCCCTTCTCCTGGCTTCCCTCAGTTGCTTCCAAACCTCTCCAATCCTCCCCACTCTAGTAAAAGCTTCTCCTTCTTGAGACTGTTACTCCGCTGTCCCACTTCCATCCTTTCCTGGTAATGTCATTTACTGTCTCCGGAAGGCTTCCTCACTTTCACTGAAGACTTTGGCACATGGCTCACTCTCTCCCTCTTTCTCCCCACCAGCCAAATCCGGGTCAATACTTTATCTGCATTGTCTATCTTATACCTGGGTGGCTAAAACCGCTGAAAAAGCAAACAACTCTGTGAAGTGGAGCTGCTACAAATTTGTGATCTCCCAGCTTGGTACTATGTCATTCATATTTACTGGAGATGGAAAGAAAGGTCTTTGGTAAACAAAGTAGCAACTTACATGGTGTCTGTGCCACTATAAATTGATTGTCTCTCAGTTCCAAATTCACCCTGCAAATATATGCTCTCTGATAACGGATGGAATTGCTTTAAGCGTTTCTCTGTTAAAGTAAGCATGATGTTAAGCTTTCTCAGTAGACAGCACTGGAGCAGCATTGCAGGACGAAGGGGCTCTCCGGAGGTTTCTGCCGGTAGCAAGGTGGATCAACAAGGTGGGTGTGAGGACATCTGGTGGTACTCAGCCCCGGCCACTCACCCAGAAGGCGCTGTCCCTCAGGGACACTGCACCCCCATCACGGCCTGATGATCATGTCTGTGCTGCCCTCTCCATACAGACCTCGGGCCTCCTGCTGGCACTGACTCCCTGATTGAACTCACTCCCCTCTCCAGGGGTGTTTCCCATAGTCCTCTCAATGCTGTGCTCCTCCCAACCTCACATTCCTCCCCATAGGGACACCAGGTGTCCACCCGGGCTGCAGCAGGCCTGGTGTCCCACTCCTACTGCACTGCAAACCCACGCAGTGGCCACCAGCTGTGGCTCGCCAGCCCTGCCGGTGCTGCAGAGGGCTCATTACTGCTCGTCTCTGACTGCAGACCAGCTCTGGCCAGCAAATCAGCAAACTTCTCTGCCATCCGGTGGGCTCAAACACACATTTGTCCAATGAGATATGAACCACACACTTAGGGAGAGGGCCCTTTTCCAAGTTTGCCCATCTCCTTTGGCCCTAGGACACCATAACGAGTATTCTTAAAAACTAAAGTTACTCTACTATCACAGTTTAATAATTCTTTATATTAAACTACCCCTGTTTAAATCACCATGTGGTTTCAATCTCGCAACTGAATCCAGACTGCTAGAATCCAAGAACCAGTCACTTTATTTATACAGAGAGGATGGAACTTGTCAGTGGAAGGTTTGTCTGCTTCCATGTCTTGACATCCTACCTAGTCTTCCTCCTATTGCTCTCTACTTCCACCCCCCACCACTTCACTGAAAATATTCTCTCCGGGATCACCAATGACCTTGTTGCTAATTCTAATGGACGGCATGTTGGACCTCATCTGATTTGATGGGTCTGCTCCATCTGACACTGACTGGTTGCCTTCATTTTGTGACACAACATTTCCTGCTTTCTTCCTATTTCTTTGACAATTCTTTCTCAGTCTCCTTCACTGGCACTTCTCTCTGCCTGTTTCTTCAATGTTGATGTTTTTCCAGGATTCTGCGCTTGGTCTTCCTCTCACTCCCTGTAATTTCTTGTGTGACTTCTTCTCTTCCGGTGGTTTCAACTCTCGTTTACATAAGACACAGTCCAGATCTGTATGCTTCACTTAGATCTCCGATCTGAGCACTATCTTTCCTCTAGACATTTTCACCATGACTCACAGGCAATTCAAACTCACCGTTCCCAAACTCAAATGATCCTATTCTCTGCCAGATCTATTTTCCTCCTCCATTTTCTGCATCAGTGAATAATACCACCAGTCACCTTGCCCAAGGCAGGCACCTGGCTGTTATCTCACATTTTCTTTCCCTCTCTCACTTTCAAAATCCATCAGTCACAAAGTCCTATTGATTCTCCCTCCTGAATAGCTCTTGAATCTTCCAACTTCTTTTCATCTCTATGACCCATATTTTAGTAAGGGGGTGAAATCTGAATGAGCAAGTAGGAAACTTGTTCAGAAAATAAGTGGACAACACGAGAGGGTGCCTTCCAGATGGTGGTTACAGCTTCTGCAAGAGCAGAGAGGCATGAAGCAGTGCAATCTGAGTCCATGTTTTCTTTACCATACCTGCCATATGGTTAGTTTTATGCATCAACCTAGCTAGGCTATAGTACCCAGTTATTTAATAAAACACTAATCTAGGCATTGCTATGAAGATATTTTGTAGATGTGGTTAACATCTATAATTAGTGAACTTTAAGTAAAGGAGATTGTCTTCAATAATATAGGTGGGCCTCACCCAATCAGTTGAAAACTGAAAAAGTAAAAACTGAGTTTTCCTGGAAAAAAAGATATTCTGCCTCAAGACTACAACATTAACTCCTTTTTGAGTTTCCAGCCTGCTGGCCTGCTCTACAAATTTCAAGCTTGCCAGTCCCAACAACTACACCAGTCAATTTCTTTAAAAAAAAAAAAAAAAAAAATATATATATATATATATATATGTTATTTATATATATTTGTATGTGATATATATAAAAGACCCTATCTATCTATCTATCATTTCCCTGGAGAACCCTGATACATCTGTAAAATTCCTTCACTTGGCCTACTTGAATACTTGATGGCCAAGCCAATGGACAGATCTATCTCAGAGTTTCAGACTCTGCCATTTAAATTCACCCACATTCAGCTAAATCACAAGATATGACGACCAAAGATCATGTTTTTCATATTCTATGTATGAAGTCATGTGGCATTTGTGATAAGAACTGTATTTTTTAACAGCTGGAGAAATACTTTGTTGAAATGTTTGGTTATGAGAAAGAGAAAAAACAAAATATGTCAAGAGAAAACCAGTTTGGTTATCAGTCAATAAATTGGCCTGCCAGTTTCAGTAGAGACTGG